GGTTTAAAAAAAAGTTTAAAAAAGTAAAGTAACGTTAAAAAGGTAAAGTAAGAAAGTTTTAAACTTTACTTAGTACCGTACCACCACACACACACACACACACACACACACACACACACTTAAAATTTCTTAAAAGGATGTTATTTTGCACTCTGTTCTTTTTGATTCTATTTCATTTTATATATATATGTATATATATATATATTCCATTTCATTACATATATATTTGCTATCTAATAAACTGATTTCATAATTCACTAATGGTCTTGAAACACAGGACTGGAGTCACACTCTTAGGCTCTCTCGCTGAGCCTCACTCACTTCTCCCCAGAGGAGTAATTTCTTTGAATTGGGAGTTTGGGAGAAGGCGGTAGGCATGCTCAACACAGCTGCTTCTGTGCTCTTCCCTTGCCCTAACCATCTGCAGAGAGGACGCTCTTCGATTGCTGGAGAGGAGCCTAACCCTGTAAGGTCAGCAGGTTACTAGACAGTCCTGTTCTCACTTCAGTACCTACCCCTGTTTGGTGCCTATGCCAAACTGGCTGTTAATATTCTTAAGACCACTCACTCCTGCCCTTGCTTGATGTGTTGTGTCACTGATATGGGGGGCAATCCATCTGTTTCAGGGGAAAGTATCAGCAAACCTATTTAAGCATTCTTTATTAACCTGCTGTTATGGACTGAATGGTTGTATCCCCCTAAAATACGTATGTTGAAGCCCTAACCCCCAATGTGATAGTATTTGAAAGTAACTAAATTTAGTTGAGGTCAAGAGGGTGGGGCCCCAACATGGGATTAGTGTCCATTTAAGAAGAGGAAGAGAGAGCAGAGCTCTCTCTCCATGTGAGGATACAGTAAGAAAGTGGCTGCCTGCAGGCCAAGAAGGGAGCCCTACTAGGAAAATGAATCAGCTGAGTCCTTGATCTTGGACTTCCTAACCTCTAGAACTGTGAGAAATAAATTCCTGTTGTTTTTCACCCAGGCTGTGTCCTTCGTTATGACAGCCCAAGACCAAGGCATCTGCTAAGATTTAACACTGTTAAATGGTGCCAGGAGGTCAAGCAAGATAAGAACTAAGATGCTACCAAGGATTTACCAACAAGGTGTTTGTTAGAGACCCTGGTGAGAACACTTTCTATCCGTGGGTGGAGGGAGGAATAGGAAATGCACATTATCTGGAGGTGGGGCTGAAATGGAAAGGAGAGGTAGTAACCAGAAGCAGAAGAAATAGGAGAAATCTGCGCGTACCTGTGGGTGACTAGAAGAAAGTCCAGAGTCCACCCCCCCAACCCCACTCTGTATGACGTGAGGTGGCTTACAATAAAAATACACCCCTTCACACCGCAGCCCCTCATGGGGTCCTCTTAAGTACCTCAGCCTTTCTCCTGCTTCCCCTCCTTGTGCAACACCTGGAAAAGCTGGCAGTCACTGGGGGTCACGGAAGACAAGGTAGTCAGGTCTGAACACTGACTTCTGGGCCTGCCAGCTTCATCCGGACGCCAAAAGACTCCACGAGAGCAGAACCCCTGGGGGCCAAGAAGCAGCCAAAGGAGGGTAGCGAGTACTAAAAGTCAGAGACCGTGGGTTTCATTCCCGCCTCTTCCACCCCATAACCTGCCACCTCATAGCAATTCCTGTCTGAGATCTTGAGGGATGCCCAGGAGAGATCGCTTGGGTTTGAATGTAGGTTGCACCACTACAGTACAACTAGGGTCTCGGTTTTCCCTTCTTAGGGGCATTGTTTTAAGGGGTAACCTGGAACAGCCGTGAGCTAACCCCTTGGTAGACACCAGTATCACGGCCTCTTGTCCTCCCTAGGCACAGCCTCTTGCTCCACACCGCGTCTTGCAGAGGGGGCGGGAGGTCCCAGCGCTCTCTGGCCAGAGCCCCCCGCCGCCAGGGTGCAGGCGGCCTATCGCGACAGCGGCGGTGCATTGTGGGGCTTGTAGTGCGGGGCTGCGGTGGGTGGGCGAGTGGGCGCGGCCGCCGCAGTCGCTGCTGGGCCA